GCTCAGAGGCTTGCTGGGGGCCACAGTCAGAAGACTCAGAACTTCTGAGTCTTCTGACTGTGGCCCCCAGCAAGCCTCTGAGTCTTCTGACTGTGGCCCCCAGCAAGCCTCGTGCCCGCCCTAAGTGAAGGCGGGCCTGAATATTCACGAGAGACCCTTGCAAGGAACATGAAAGTGGACGAAGCACATAAATCCAAATGTCAGCCTCACGTATACACGCCCAGCATTTTCGGCCTCCACGTCCAGCATGCAATGTCGGCTTCACGTATACACGCCCAGGGCCTAACCAACTTTGGTAGCCCTGGGCCTTCTGCGTTTGCAGGGATCTGGACTTCGGTGCACTCCAACCAACTGGCGTGCAGCAACTGTCTGGCAACCACTTCGTGAAATGTTGAATACAAGGCCTCTCGTTAATTTGCAGGCCCGCCTTCACTTAGGGCGGGCACGAGGCTTGCTGGGGGCCCTAGCCCAGTGCATGTGCATGTTGGCAAGGCCCCTTGAGGGCTCAATCCTCACACCCTTATGCAAAGAACATGAATGTGAGCCAAGTACAGAAATCCAAATTGCAAATCACGCTGGAGTCCAAGTAGTCAAGCAAAGAGCAGATACCACATTGCAACCGAGAGCAGATGGCACATTGGAACCGAGAGCGAAGTACAAAAATCCAAATTGCAAATCAATCTGGAGTCCAAGTAGTCAAGCAAAGAGCAGATAGCGACTGCACCGGGCATTTGAGCCCAGGGCGCGGGTGGTTGTGCCCTGACCACATGCCTTGTGAGGCCAACACATCACGATGTGGCCACAGGCGAACCAGAAAGCAGAGTGACTGACAGACAGACTTGACAGACTTGCACAGAGACTGACATGGCGCACAGTGACAGACAGACAGACAAGCAAACAGGCACACAGACACGGTGACAAGTCACACAGACAGGTTGGCGTCCGTGGAAGACAGACAGACGTTGAACTATCTATGTGACTTGTGATCGTGTTTGTGTGCCTGTTTACCTGTCTGTCTGTCTTTCACTCAACCACCTTGTCACACGAGTCGGTTTGCAAGTCTGGCATACAGACTGACGAACAAACGAACAGATAGGCAGACAGATAGACTGACCAACAGGCAGACATGACAGACATACTGACGTGACAGGGTGACTGAGTGACAAATAGACGGACTGACTGACAAACATGCAGACAGGGTGTACAGCAGCCATGACAAGTCACACACACATGCACAAAACTCAGATTCGCAAACACGTCTTCTCTTCTCAACCTGAGTCCGACAGCAACATTTGACAAGGTTATTTGCAAACCTTTCTCTCTCTCTCTCTCTCTCTCTCTCTCTCTCTCTCTCTCTCTCTCTCTCTCTCTCCCCATCAGTCGGTGTCATCCTGCGTTTTTTTTTATCTGCGAAGTGGCTGCTCCTCATCTGATTCCTCCTCCTCCTCCTCCTCCTCATCTGCCTGCCCCTCCTCAGCCCTTTCGTCTGCCTGTGTGGGGGCAGAGTGCAGTCGGCCCCTGCCTCTCGAGGATCCCGAAGTAGGAGGCCCTTCGCCTCGTTTGGAAGGTGCCTCCTCCCCTGCCTGGTCCTTTGCCTGTGCAGTTGGGCGTCCTTTGCCTTTCGAGGATCCTAAACGAGAACGCCCTCTGCCTCTTTTAAGAGCCACGTCTCCTCTCCCTCTCGCAGTCGATGCACCTCCTCGTCCACCTCTCCCGCCCCGTGGAGGTCGATAACTGAGAGGATCCCAGGTGGAACCAGAGGTGGCCCCCAGACGACCAAGCAACTATGAGGGTCTGCTCAGACCGTAGAATGCACGCGGCTGCTGCTGCTGCTGCTACTCCTGTTGCTGCTCCTGCGGGAGCTGGTGCTGCTGCTGGTCCTGCTGCCGCTTCTGCTGCTGCTGCTGCTCCTCGTCCCGCTGCTGCCGCTTGCCGTCCTCATGCTCCCCCTGCTACTGCTGCTCGTGCTTCTGCTCCTCCTGCTGCTCGTCCTGCTACTCCCCCTGCTGCTGCTCCTCGTGTTGCTGCTCCTCCTGGTGTTGCTGCTCCTCGTCCCGCTGCTGCCGCTCGGCATCCTCATGCTCCCCCTGCTGCTGCTCGTGCTGCTGCTCCTCCTGCTGCTCGTCCTGTTGCTGTTCCTCGTCCTGCTGCTCCTCGTCCTGCTGCTCCTCGTGCTGCTGCTCCTGCTCCTGCTCCTCATGTTGCTGCTCCCGCTACTGTCGCTCCCACTGCTGCTGCTCCCGCTGCTGCTGCTCCCTCTGCTGCTGCTGCCGCTCCCGCTGCTGCTGCTCCCTCTGCTGCTGCTCCCGCTGCCGCCGCTCCCGCTGCTGCCGCTCCTGCTGCTGCTGCAGCTCCTCGTGTTCCTCCTCCTCCTCCACCTCATCATCATCATCATATCGTTCCTCGTGCCGTTGGCCCTCTTGCTGGCCCTGAGCATTCCGTGATGCAATCCGGTGGCTGAAACGCGGGCCGGGTGTGTATGGTAGAATGCCCTCTCTCCTCGTCCACGACCTATCTGAGTCGGACTTGTCACTGCGCCACTCCTCGCGAGGGAATTCATCTCCCTCGTCCTTGTCCTCGTCCTCGTCCTCCTCTTCCTCTTCCTCCTCCTCCTCCTCCTCCTCCTCCTAGAAGACATCCGGTCCATGCGTCGTACTCTGAGTTGCACGACGCGCAGTGACGATGTTGGTGCTGCCCCTCTCAGATCCAGTGGCGCCATGCCTGACTGCATCATCGTCCTCCACATTAAGCATGCCAATTGCCTCGCCTTCGAGGTCCTCGTCCACTCAGCCCTGCTCCAGCCCCAACCAACCTCCTGTCACTGTCAGGCCATCTTCCCCCTTGCTCTTCAGTCTGAGGTTCCAATGCGAGTAGACAAGCTTCTCTGTACGCTTGTGCTTCAACTGGTTCCTCGTCTTCGTCTGCACGAGGGACCACGTGCTCCAGTTCCTCTCTGCAGGAGAGGATGTGGTCCATATCGAAAGCACTTTCATGGCCAGCATCTTCAACTCCGGATGACCACCTCTGTGTGCCTCCCACCACAACACTGCATTGTCCTTGTCTTCCCTCCTTAACGCTGCTGCGTCACCAAAGATCCCTCTGCTGAATTGGAAGTCGTATAGCTGGTTTTTGCAGTCTGTAAACTTCTGACTCCCATTCTTTGCAACAAGACGGTCCACCACGCTATCGAATTGCGCCATCAAGTCCAAATTGCTGAAGACGGTGATGTCCCGCAATCGAGGGTCCAACAAGCGAGCCACAGCATGAACAGGGTTGAGAAGCATGTCCGTCCTCTTTCCCACATCGCGCAAGATGCTGTCCCGCTCATCGTCTGTGAGTGGTGCATGAAGAACACAATTCTTCAGGTCTACTGCAGTGTCGTACACCTTGGACAAGCAGTGGATGTCCTTGTCGACCATCCGCAGCACATCGTAGGGCCCCTTCATCACTCGATACAGCTTCTTCAAATCTGCCCAGAATGCCCTGTCAGTGATGAGGGACTCCACCTCGTAAGCGTCCGTCCTGATGTACGGCTGCCAATCCATCTTCGTCCACGAGTCCCCCAGCACCAAGCGACGAAGGGCTCTCTCGCATGTCAACAACCGATCCAACATGACGAAGTGGGTCCCGAACCTCATAAGGGCATGAAGAAGAAGAACTCTGACCTCCACACCCTTTTGTGCCATAAGCTCCATCCTCAACATTGATCATGGCCACCTGTGGTTCCTAAAGAACTTCACGACCATATTCGCCTTCTTGATGACGTCCTTAGCCCACGGCTTGTCGCCCACATCCTGCATGAACAAGTCCATGCAATGTGCAGTGCACGGGATCCAGTATATCTGCTGGAACTCTGGATCCGTCCTCAACATCGTGGCCGCACTTTTGTTCCCTGAGAAGGAGTTATTGCAGATGGCCGTGATCTTCTCAACCCCAATCTCCGTGAAGAAGTTCTTTCATCCACGAACAACCGCACCGGCGTCCTTGTCCTGATCGTTGACGTCCTCACACTTGACGAATATTGGTTTCGAACGCCCTGCGAAGATGTAATTCAACAATGACCGCCCACAGATGTCAGTGGTGCCGTCAGTGATGAACGTGCAGCCAGTGACTTCCCAATCATCGCTGATGGCCCGCTCCTCCTTGCTCAACCTTTGCCTCAAGCCATCGAGAAGATGACACCGCAGAGGGTTGTAGCCAGTGGGGACCAGGGGATGTTTGGCAGCAGGTTGTGGTCCATAGCATGTGTTCACGAACTTCTTGAAGGACTTGCTCTTCGCCACATTGAAGGGGATTGCGTTCTCCACAAAGAACTCGATGCATCTCTCATCAATGTCCTTTTGTCGTGGGTTTTTGACCCACCTCGCGATGGAACTCTGCTTCATCTACCCACGATTACACACTCGTGCTTGCAGTGCATTAGCACGAGAAGGGCCTGCTTCCCCCCGACATGCACCTCGCACATCGACGGCCCTCCCCCCAATATCCTCCACCCCACTGCAAGACTGCAGACCCAGCTCTCCACCCCTCCCCACTTGTCTCCCTCCTTCGTCCCCAACGTCTGCTCCGACATCTCCTCCCTCCGAACCACCATCACCGGTGTTGTTCTCCTCCTCCTCCGCTGCCCGCACCAATTCCAGCAAGTCTGCAGGCAATACCACCCCGGCAGCATGCAGCCTCCTCTAGATGGCACGTGTCCCATGAGGGCAACGTGAAGTCGGCCTCTTCCAAATGAAGTGCTCAACTGCACGCGGTTGTCCCCCATTGAACTCACGGCCGCACAACTTGCGTTTCAGGCGACGACCACCCCGAGTGGTCTCCTTCAGCTTCTGCCCAGCAGACACCCACGACCACACACAGAAGTTACCCGAAATGTCGGATCCTCCCTGAACGGCTCCTTCCCAGCAGCTGCAGCTGAAGTTGCACTTGTCATGTTGCAGATTTGGCGGCTGCTGGACTATTACACGGGACTTGCGCTGAGAGCTGATGTCACACTTGCTGATGTGGCCTGCCTCCCACACACGCACACGCAGTCGCACAACCAATCACCACGTGTCACTCTCTTATTAAAAAAAAAAAAAAAAAAAAACAACAACTGGTGTGGCGATGGAAGAGGAGGAAGAAGACGGCGATGGGGAGGAGGAGGATGGTGATAGGGAGAGGAGGAGGAAAACGACGACGCTGGTGAAGGTCGTCTTACTCCTCCCCCCCCCCC